CGCCCGCGGAACTTACGCGGCCCCGAGCCGGCCGGCCAGCTCGGAAAGAAATACGAGAGAGGAAATTGTTTCCATAGGCGGATTACAATCTACCTTAATATCTGCTCGATTTAATCACCTCGTTAAATGATCGGAAGGGGAGGGGAAGGGGGGGGGAAGGCTTTTAAAGGGATGTGACCTAAAACAATGTTATTGCGGGTTAAATTTGCATCGAGCGCGTGCATGTATTTATGTGCGGGGGCAGACAGAGCGGGCACAAGCTATATAAAGCTGTACGAAAAGCAAGATCAGCATTGGCGTCCACCGAAACGCGCGCCCGGCTACGCCGGGTGTTCAGGCTGACATGCCTAAGTGCATATATATACAATATATATCCACATTTGTACAAGGGTAGATGCTGGCGTGTGCGTATGACCGTGCACGTCCGTTTCTTTTGATGATCTGGGCGTCGGGGTGCGTGTATATATATTTTATATATAACGTTTATACACACGTTACACGGACGTGTGCGGGGCTGGACGCTGTGCGTGTAATTTATATAAGTCTGGGTCTTCAGGCGATGTGTGGACCTCTGGATATAGGTCCCGTGTCCTATACCGCATATAACAACGTGTCTACACTCTCTATATAAATTTATATATATCTCTCTCTATGCAAGTGCACCCCTCTACATTATTATGCGAAATGGTGGGTAGATAATAGGTACGTTATATATATAAATTGATATACACATATGCAAGTGCAACCCTCTATATTCTCCTACCAAGCGGTGTGGAGAGCTCGCTGAGGGTCTGTACCGGTGTGTGCGTATGGGTGCACATATAGCTTCATAAGTGCGTCTAAAGGGTAGATGCATAGGGGGGGCGTACCTATATCGTCTCTCCGCGGGCTCAGCGCGGTGACAAGGGTGCCCTATGGAGCCCATACCACCACCAGAAATGCCGGGAAAGCCCCATATGGATTTGGATGCTTCCCCAAATCTCCGGAAAGGCGGGACGCGGCTTCGTCTAATAGCGGGAATGGGGCGAACCGGGGGCTGGATCCTCTCCTCCCAGCTCCCCATCCCTTCGGGGGGGCTGATTTCTCCGAGTGCGCAGCTGATGAGCGGGGAAACCCGGGGTCGATCTGACGGTGTTTTCTGCATTTATTTTGGAGAACTTGGGTGGTTTGGAAGGACCGGCAGAGCTTTAATTCTTATTATTTTAATTTGTTGTTGTTGTTTTTAAAGACAATCAGCTAGGAAATATCGCAATACCTCGAGAAGCCCATCGCCGCTGCCATAGCGGGATTAAATCGTTGGTAAAACCTGCCCTAACGCACGAAAGCCACGAGAACGTGTGTTTTGGGTGTAAAAAAAAAAAAAAAAAAAAAAAAAAAAAAAAAAAAACTTTTCCCTTAAAAAAAAAAACACCTAAAACCCTTGCTGTGTGTGCAGACACTGCAACGCCCGGGAGCAACTCCAGACAAGCCCAAATCCGACATCCCGACAGCGAGTGTGCTCTTCGCTGTGGCTCCATTCTTCCCCATTGTACCTGAATTTCACCAATTCCGGGGGGAAAAAAAATTGGTGAAAGTGAGGTTATTGAGCGAGGGTTATTGGCGGGAATGAGGGGATATGGATAAATACCTTTTTTTTTTTCCCCCTCCCTTTACGGATGTGGGTAATTGAGCCCAAGTTATTCACGGAGTTTCCAATTCTGGAAGTTTTTGTCAATTGTGGTTTCAATTTTGTTGGAGGGGAAGAGGGCTGTCTGTGTGTCGGTTTGTGTGTCAGTCGCTCTTTCAACTCGTGTGGGAAGAATTAAAAGGGGGTGGGGGGGTGTGGGGGGGGAAAG